ATAACATGCCATTTTGATTATTGTCACCTTGTAGCATAATTTGAAGTCGGGCAGAGCTTATTCCTTTTTCTCAGGATAGCTTTGACTATTTGGGGTCTTTAGTACTTCCATACAAATCTTATGATTTTTTGTTTTATTTTTATTTTTTAAAAATGCTGATGGGATTTTGAAGGAATTTCATTAAATCTGTATAATGCTTTAGGTAATTAGGTAATTTCAACTATGTTGATTGTTCCATTCTAGGAACACAGAATCTTTTTCCATTTCTTTGTGTCTTCTTCAATTTCTTTTAATAGAATCTTATAATTTTCATTATACAGGTCCTTCACATGTTTTGTTTTCTTTTTTGTGTGTGTTATCTTTACCAAGTTTTTGTATCAGGGTAATATTAGCTTCATAAAATGTTAGGAAACATTTCCTTCTCTTCAATTTTCGGAAGACTTTGAGGAGAATAGATGTTAAATCTTCTTTGATGTTTGGTAGAATTCACTGGCAAAGCCATCTGCTCCTGGACTTTTACTTTCTGGTAGGTGTTTGACGATGGTTTCAATTTCCATGCTCCTGATCAGTCTATTTCGATTTTTCAGTTTTTCTTGATATAGTCTAAGAAGGTTGTTTTTCTTCTCTTGGAAGCTCTTTATCTCCTTTAATTCTAAATGTTAGCTTTGCTGGGTATAGTAATCTTGGTTGTAGGTCCTTGCTTTTCATCACTCTAAATAGTGCTTGACAATGTTTTCTTGCCAATCCCTTCTGGCCTGCAAAGAAAGTTCTGTTGAGAAATCATCTGACAGTCATATGAGAGCTCCCTTGTAGAAAACTAACTGTCTTTCTCTTTCTGCTTTTACAATTGTCTCTTTGTCTTTAACCTTTGGCATTTTAGTTATGATGTGTCTTAGTGTGGGCCTCTTTGGGTTCATCTTGTTTGAGACTCTGTGTGCTTCCTGGACTTGTATGTCTATTTCCTTTGCCATGTAAGGGAAGTTTTCAGTCATTATTTCTTCCTATAAATTCTCAAAATTTTAATCTTTCTCTTATCTTTCTGGTACCCCTATGATGCAAATGTTGTTACTCTTGATGTTGTTTCAAAGGCCCCTTATACTATTCTCATTTAAAATTTTGTTTTTCTTTTTTAATTTCAGGTGTAAAATTTAACAGTAAGGTGCATATATATTGCATTGTGTATTCACCGCTCATAGTTAGATTTCTTTCTGTCATCACATATTTGACCCCTTTTACCCCATCTACCTTCCCCCTTCCCTCCTTCTCCCCATCCTCTAGTAACCACTAGTCTATAGTCCATGTCCATGAGTATCTGGTTGTTTGTCCTGTTCATTTGTTGCTTTTAGGTTTATATCTCACATATAAGTGATATCATGTGGTTTTCAACTTTTTCTGTCTGGTTGCTGTTCTGATTGAGTGTTTTCTGCTACCTTGTCTTCTAAATTGCTGATTCAGTTTTCTGTTTCATCTAATCTGCTATTGGTTCTTTCTAGATGGTTTCAGTTATTACTTTCTTCATTTTGGACTAGTTCTTTTTATGTTATTTTTTTGTCCTTTTATATGCTTATTATCTCTTTGTTGAAGTTTTCACTAAGTTCATTGAGCATCCTTATAACCAGTGTTTTGAACTCTGTATCTGGTAGGTTGTTTGTCTCCATTTTGTTTAGCTTTTTTTCTGGAGTTATCTCCTATTCTTTCATTTTGGATACATTTCTTTGTTTCCTTATTTGGGCTGCCTCTCTCTGTTTCTATGTATTAGGTAGATGTGCTATGTGTACCAGTTTTGGCAGGGTGGCCTTAACATAGTGGCATGAGAGAGAGGCCATGCTGTGAACCAAGGCCAGCTGCCACTAGTACCCAGCCTGGGGCAACTCAGCAAAAGGCCCAGGGTACCCCAAGGCCTGCCACCACCTGCTGCGTGCTCATAAAGCTCAGCCCTTGAAAGAGCCCTAGGTGGTGTAAGATTGAGTGAGGGAGGTCTCAGTGAGTCATCTGGGTGGGGTGAGTGGTGTTTACCAGGTTAATGCAAATTCAGGTCTGGCACTAGTGCTGAGCCTGTGGTCAGTGAGCAAAAGGCTCAGAGCACACCAAGACCAGCCACTGCCATTCTCAGGCTCATGAACCCTTGACAATTGTCCAAGAAAGACTGCAGTGCAGGCAGAGCTGGCTGCCCACCACTGAAAGAGCCCCTGGTAATGTGTGAGTTAGGTTCAACAGGGTCCCAGAGAATCACCAGGGTGGAGTGAGCAGAGTTCACCAGACCAATGCAGACTCAGATTTGGTTGTGTGTATGTGTTGGAGCGGTGGGTGGAGGGAGGGGGCGGGAATCTTAACACAGGAAAGATGGAGCCTGCCCATGGGATGCAAAGGAAGAGGCCTCAACACAGGGACAATGGCAGCTGCTCCTGCAGCCTTCACCTTGAAGCCAGACAATTGAGTTACTCTCGTATGTCTCTGTTGTCTTTTAAGCAGCTGCTCCAATGTTGGAGCTCAAAGTGAATGAGTAACTCCATCAATGAGTAACTCCATCCATGGGCCATTTAAGAGGAACTCTGGCAACTTCTGCCATCCTGAATCTCACTCAGCCACAGTCTCTGCAGATTTTCAAAGCTAGAAATAGTGGAGAATTCTCTTCACAGCACTGGAACCCTGAGCCTGGTATGTGGCTGGGACCCCTCACTCTTCAGTGGAGACCTCTGCAGCTGAGCTATCTCTCCTGTGGGTTTGAGGCCAGCCTGTTTCTCACCTCAGCTACCATAGTCTCAACGTGGCTTATTCTGTGTGTCCTTAGTTATAAGACTTCTGTTCAGCTAGACTTCAGGTGATTCTCACTGATGGCTATTCTGTAGTTTAGTTGTAATTTTGATGTGGTTATGGGAGGAGGCTAACACAACATTTACTTACTCTGCCATTTTGGATTCCCATCTGATTAACTTTTTTATATAACTGTTTTTATTCGTCAAGGTGAGAGATAATGAAATCTTAAACTCAGAATAGGAGCTGAGGAGGTGGAAAAGAGATGGCCATTTAGAGGCATAAGTGGTGGAATTCGATAGCCTATTTCTTGATTAACTCCTTAAAGTGATTCACGTTTATTTATTAAAAAAATAGTAAGCACTTTGCATGGCATAAGCTTTACTTCAACCCCATGAGTTGAGGCTGTTATTATCCTCATTTCAAAGAAAGGGATTTGAGGCATGAGGCTCTTCAGTGCTTGGTTGTAATCTGGTACTGTGTCAGGAGGTATAGATCCAACCGTTTGACTCAAGAGCCTACCCTCATAACCACAAAGCCCTACTGCTTTTGAAAGCTATTATCTTTTGAAAATACTATTTCTCAGTTCTGTTACTGGAGGCCCTCACTGTGCCATCTAGGTTGTCAGAGGCTTAGAGCAACATTCACTAGTTACCTCATGGTATATCTTTAGGACCTGATCATCTATGCACATCAGATGGCATTAGATAATTTTCCTTTATGAACATAATAGATGGTTGTGCTAACTCTGTGCTGCTGTGACAAATAGCCACATATTAAGTGGCTTAAAACAACAGATTTTTATTTTCTCAATGTTCTGGAGGCCAGAAGTCAAAATCAGTGTGTCAGCAGGGCCATGCTCCTGCCAATGCACCCCGTGGTGAGTCTTTCCTGCCTCTTCCAGTTTCTGGTAGCCTTAGGCATCCTGTCTTGTCACTACAATCTCTGTCTCTGTCTTGCATGGCTGTCTTACCTGTGTGTCTCCATCTCTTTGTACAAATGTCCCTCTTCTTTTTTAAAGACATCAGTCATTTTGGATTGGGACTCACCCTAATCTAATGTGACTTCATCTTTACTAATTCAGTTACTGTTTTCAGATGCTGTTTCTATATAAGGTCACATTCCCAGCTGCCAGGTGTTAGAACTTGAACATATTGTTTTAGGCGGGGAAATTAAACTGACAACAAAGATGGTTCAATTCCAGTGAATTTGATCTTGATTTTGGTATAATTGTGTT